GGTGTGATGCCAACTCAACAAGACGGTGTGATCCCAACTCAACAAGACGGTGTGATCCCAACTCAACAAGACGGTGTGATCCCAACATCAACAAGACGGTGTGATCCCAACTCAACAAGACGGTGTGATCCCAACATCAACAAGACGGTGTGATCCCAACATCAACAAGACGGTGTGATCCCAACAGGCAGTCACCACCACGTCTGAAACAAGACGGTGTGATCCCAACTAAAAGGCAGTCACCACATCGTCTGAATGCTTCAAATTAGCTAATTTGTAATTATAAGGTCTACATAAAGGTGATTCGAACAAAGTTAACTAGAACTGTAAGCCAAAGGCTAGCTAATACCCCCCACTCCTATATAAACCAGAACTGTAAGCTAAAGGCTTACCAAGGCGAAGCATTGCAAAGCAATATAGTCTCCCACCAGTAATGATTTCTTTATTGGCTAAGCTGTACACTTATTTAAGTATATAGGTCACTCACATACTTCCTGTACTCCCTCTCAATGCCAAAACATACTTAATTTGCAAACCAAACCTTGTTAGCCCAGATGAACAAGTTTTGCTGAAATTGTCCTAATAGTTATAAGGAAGATATGTCAGTACATTGATTTTTAACAAAGGGCCATAACTCCTTAAAAAGGGTCAATGAAAAAAATACTACATTGATGCACGACATCAGGGGGTAATTACCATATCTGTAAATTTTAACTGAAATTGGCCCAGTAGTTTAGGAGGCAGACAAAGGTTTTTTTCAACAAAGGGCCATAACACCTTTTAAAAGTGTCGGAATGAAAAAGTGCTACTTGAATGCACAAGGGCAGTGCCATTTCTGTAAACTTTGTTTGAAATAGGCCAAGTAGATTAGGAAAAGTTGTCAGGACAAGGATTTTTCAACAAAGGGCCATAACTCCATAAAAAAGGGTTGGAAAAAAATACCTGGATGCACAACATTGGGTGGTAGTTATCAAATCTGAAAAGTTTGTTGAAACTAGGAGCATAGTGTTGGAGGAGTTATCTGGAGAAGTATTTTTCAACAAAGGGCCAATTTAATCTGTAAACAAGAGGCCCAATAGGCCTGCACCGCTCACCTGGTATAAATCTCACACTTATAACCTTAACAAGAGGCCCAATGGGCCTGCACCGCTCACCTGGTATAAAACTCACACTTGTAACCTTAAAAGTGATCTAAAATAAAGCTACAGGCAAAATATCAGTATTTATGATGAAAATTCGTTCAAAAGACCCTGTTAATTTGTTTTAAAACATTTCACCCCTGTGATTGAAAGTCGAACAAAGTCATTATGTTGAACACATTGTATAGCCTTTCATCTTAGGATGCAACTTGCAAAGTATAAACATCCTGGGACCCATGGTTATTCATAAGAGGTTGTTTAAAGATTTTAAACAAATTTGACCCCTGTGACCTTGAATATAAGTCAAAGTCATTCACTTTAACAAACATGGTAGTCCTTGATCCCAGCATATGCTACGTATACTAACTAAATATCAACATCCTGAGCCTTTTGGTTATTCAGAACAAGTTGTTGAAATATTTTAAACATATTTGCTCCTTGTGACCTTGAATATGATTCAAGGTCATACATTTAAAAAAACTTGGTAGCCCTTGATCCTAGTATGCTACTGACTAAATATCATCACCCAGGGCATTTTGGTTATTCAGAAGAAGTTGTTTAAAGTTTCTAACATATTTGACCCCTGTGACCTTGAATATGGGTGAAGGTCATTCATTTGAACAAACTTTGTAGCACTTCATGTCAGCTAGCTACTGGCCAAATATCATCACCCTGGGCATTTTGGTCAATTGGAAGAAGTTGTTTAAGGTTTCTAACATATTTGACCCCTGTGACCTTGAATATCGGTGTAGGTCATTCATTTGAACAAACTTGATAGCCCTTCATCCCAGCATGCTACAGGCCAAATATCAGTACCCTGGGCCTTTTGGTTATTGAGAGGAAGTTGTTTGAAGATTTAAACATATTTGACCCCTGTGACCTTGAATATGGGTGAAGGTCATGCATTTGAACAAACTTTGTAGCCCTTTATCTATCTCAGCATGCTACTGACCAAATATCATCACCCTGGGAATTTCGGTTATTCAGAAAAAGTTGTTTAAAGTTTCTAAGACATCTGACACCAGTGACCTTGAAAGTGGGACAAGGTCATTCATTTGAACAAACTTGGTAGCCCTTTATCCCAGCATGCTACAGGCCCAATATCAGTACCCTGGGCCTTTTGGTTACTGAGAAGAAGTTGTTTTAAGTAAAATATTGACGCCGGCCGGACGACGCACCATGGCATAAGCTCACTGCAATGCCCTTCGGGCCAGGTGAGCTAAAAATGATGGAAATAAATCAAAAATATGATATCAAAATTATCAATGTATTTTTCTTTTATGGAACCAAATTACTCTCAGTCATGAACACTTTGGACATCATTCCACAGCCCGCTAACGCATGGTATATTTACATGTAGG